ACAGAAGCAGCCGCTGATGCAGGACCCCGTGCAGTTGCTGGACGGCTCCTGGCAGCTTGGGATGCATGCTGGTCCGCAATGAATGTATTGGGAGTTGGGGGGGCATTTCACTGTTGGGTGGGTAGCAGAAGAGGTGAAGATAATAGTCAGAGGTTCTATAGTAATCGCTGTTATTTAATCTAAAGTTCAAATAGAACTGTTGTGTCACCTGGGGGAGTTGTTGGTTGTGGTTTAGTGGTGGTTGTTGGTGGTTTTGTCGTGGTTGCTGTTGATGTGGTTGATGGTTTACTGGTAGTTGATGATCCTGGAGATTAAATTAAATTACATATTTTACCTTAAAATTACCCAGGGTTTGATTCGAATTCATAGAGATGGATTTTGTAAATGTTTTATATATGTTTACAACCTATTTTCCACCTGTCCATCATCCTCCTATGTTACTAGTACAGGCTTGCAGCAGAGACAGCCCGTTGTAATATTCCAGATTATTTTAGGTAAATGTTGAAAAAGCCATTGTATTGTAAATACTGAACACCATGCTGAAGACGTTAGGGCACCTTGACATGCTGTAATACAGACACTGTCCACAGCCAGGTCTGTCTTGTCGGTCTCTCCATAGATACCTTGGATCACAAACTGGGGGCAATAAAGTATCAGTATCAACTTGTGGAATATATACTCATGTGACAAGAAATACTGGGCAACGTAGTATAAATATGCAAGTAGAGTGATCAGTCGTGCAGCACCTGTATGTCTCCTGTGCCGACGTAGTGCACCTCTGCCTTCTTCCAGCCCCGCCCTTGATTCCCTATTAAACTCATCAGGGGGGCTCCCAGTGTGCCTCCTTAGCATATAGACAGATTTCAATAACATGCAAACACGTGCTAAAATACTGCAGATTTGCATGAAAACTAAGAGGAACTTGACACATATTGCCTTTGAGGTTCTTACCGGCAGGGACAGCGTAGACATTGATCGTCATAGTGGTGGCAGTACCATACATGTAGTAGTGGAAAGAGAGCTGCAGACAGCCTGCTGAGGAAGTGGCAGGGCTTAAGAGCTCCGCTGCCGCTCCTTCCTTGGCGAAGCTCGAGTCCAACAGTAGGTATAGGCCAACTGTGCAGAAAACAAAGGAGGCCATTATCAGAACTTCAGTGATGAATATCATTTCTTCTTTTTGGTTACATTGTCCTGTATTTTAAATATGTTGTGGCCCGCTGTGTGGCGTATGTGATTACAGGGCAGTGTCTTGGCAGGATGAAGGTAAAAAAAACATGGTTTTGAATAGGGCTGCCACTAACGACAATTTTTCTATGGATTAATCTGTCGACCATTTTACTGATTAGTCGATTTATCTAAACGATTCATTTTCCTCCAGAAAATCAAATAGTTTAATTTAAGGTAAATTCTACCGTTATAGCTCGACTACGCCATTTAATCGGACTATTGTCCTTGTCCTGTAGACAACACTTCCGATAGATTTGCTTATTCTGTCAGATTTTAGTTATATAGTCAATCAAAGTGATACTATATAGCTCCAGACACTATAAGTATGAGATTCCTGAGAAATTCCACCCCATACAACCCCTGTTACTGAGCTGTCTGACCACATGCTGCACACTGTGTGCGGTGTCACTCACATCCGGGCTTGGAGTAGTCGTCATCTGGCCCAGTTCCCTCTGTTTCTGTGGACCCAGGCCACTGCTCCCAGCCAAAGATTCCTGCTGGTGCTTTAGTTGTCCAGCCACACAAGTCATCGAAGGTGTCAAAGTCACATTCTGACAAACAGCCTTCAGTAAAACACATATAAAAAAAACTGTTAATTCAGCTTAAACAGTTTTCTTTTGAAAGAACCAGAGAAGATACAGAGGCTGCTCACTCCATCATGCTAACTTCCATGATCAATGACTAAGTGGCTACATTATCTGACTTGAATGAATATAATTACTACGTTTCAGTACCAGTCTTTAGGCATCTATTGCAACCTCTCAACAACCTTTTTTAAGGAAATCTTTTTTGTTACTACTTAAACCATTTCCCAAATAGTCTGTGTCTCTGTGTTCCTTAAGTTGTAACATTAACCTAGTAGAGCTCAACATAATTGTGTCCCTCAGAAATGTTTCTTCCTTCACTTTTTTTTTTCCTCCAAAAATTTTCCATTTAGTGATTTATGTATGTTCTGTCTTTTATACCACCAACAATACTTGTTGAAGTTTGGCATGTTGGAATATCTTTCTGATCTTTCTGACATATGGTGACAACTGCAGTACAAATCATTCCCTGGAAGACCTACAGGTTTATTTCTTTGACTGAATTTTAAACATTTATGTAGTTCCAGACCATCATCACGAACATCAACATTAATGTGTAGCAGAATATTAAGTATTCATTTGCTTGACTGAACAAAAGACGTATGTAAGTTTAGAGAAGACGTACCAGGGCAAGCTCCTTCACTGATAGTTATGTTGTCTAGAGCTGTGTCACAGGATGATGTGGTGCCTCTCATAGCCTCAAACACAATCTGGGGACGTTTACAATCTCAGGTGAATATAAGGTTAAATCAGACACTGAATACGAACACAAATAATTCGTCAAATAGTTCCAAGAACACCATAATAACATTCAGACATCAACATGCTGCGATCGTTAATCCCTTCATTGTTTAAATGGATTCATACTACAGCTATACTGCAGCCATTGCCAAATGCCCAGCCATGATTCTTTCAGCCACTTATCCTGAACCGGGTTTCAGGGGGTTCTGGAGCTTATCCCTGCCAACAGAGTGCACAAAGCCAAGGTGCACGCTGGACAAGGTGCCAACCCATTGCATTATGCCTACACACATAATCATGGTTTACAAGCAATTCTGAGATGGCAGTAGGCCTAGCTACACATCCATTGGTCTACATGTGGAGGCCAGAGGAAGCCCACCCAACCCAGGGCAAATATGCAACCTCCACACGCAACAAGAGCTAATGCGAGGTGGGAGGCAACACTGTTATTAACTGAGTCATCATGCCAGCTGATTGCCGACAGTGCATCACTATGTACTGCTTACTTTTCCCTCGCTCCAAAAATAAAGGAAAACTCAGAAGAGAAACTCACATTGACAGTCTGGCCAACAGGTCTCGTCACGGTCAAATCAGCTCCGAGCCAAGAAGGACTCTGGAAACCCACTTTCTCCCAAACCTTCTCCTCTGTGCCAGAGTCATGGACCAGAACAGCTAGATGGTTGAGGTGGTCACTACCGTACATATAGTACCAGAACTGAACACATATTTGAGGCAAACTGCTGTGGAGTGCAGGACTGATCAGGCGAGCTGTCTGTTTACTAGCCACATTGTCACACTCATGGTAAATGTAGTAACCATCTGGTAAGCAAGAGAGGGGAAAGCATCAGTTAGAAACTCAAATTCAGTAAGAACATAAGAAATTTACAAAGGCGAGGAGGCCATTCGGTCCATCAAGCTCGTTTGGGGAGACTTAACTAATAGCTCAGAGTTGTTAAAATCTTATCTAGCTCTG